TAAAATGCTCTTCGTAATAAAAAAATATTGGAAAACAGACACAGCTTTATGATTATTTATTAGATTCCATCTTTTAGAATCCTCATATGGTTTAATAAATAAAATTATGGTTTTGCCTATAAGAACTAGCATTTAATTAAATAGATTCCCAAATGAGTTTATTATGATGCTTAATATTTTCATACTAATTTATTGTAATAAAATAGGCCCAGTTCTGTGACACTGGCCCCAAAATTTATGAAATAACTTAATTACTAGCCAGTTGTGGAAACTAGTTGTTTGTGAATTTGTACGTTCGGCATCATTCGGGTGAAAATCGAAACTCGTTCGGCTCGATACGTTTCCGTTTTGTACGTACGTAAAGGCACGTAAAGATACGTATCACGTATCCGTAAACGCAAGTGAATTTCACACTGCGCAAGCGTACATGTTAAACGATACGTTTACGTCTACGTCTTCGGCCGTGCTTTAACTATCTAATATCTCATTTTTTTTTAAATTTTGGAGACACGGGGTTTTTTCATAGGGCGGCAATATAGCTGTCAATCATTCGAGGAAAAACAAAATGTTGATATTTTTGTGGAAGTTTTAAACATCCTGTGGAATATGTTAAGACAGCAGGAAATTTAAAAATTATTTTATCATTTAGGTACATCCTTTCTTGATAGTTTGTTTTTTGGTTCATCTCAATAGCTTTATTTTTGTTGGAGATATTCGCTTTTGAAGAAGACACTAATAGTTTTTCGTAAAATTTTACATTAAAATCATGCCTTTGTATTTGGTCTTAGTTAACAGACCTAGTAAGTTGTGGTTCCAAAGGAGGCCTTTTTATACATATAAGATTTTCTTTGCTTAAATTTCTTCTTACAGTCCTTTCATTTACATATACGTTCCTTATAACATTTTTTGTCCCCTCTTGTAATTGGCAGTTGGGAGAATTGATTTTTAATTTAGTAAGAGATACTAAAAAGTCAAATAATATAGCTACAAATTGCTTAAAAGATCATTACTAGACTACAATATAGGTATAAAATTTTAAAATACATAAAAATTTTAATGCGCCCGTTTTTTGTGTCGGTGAGTGTATTTACATTTCATAAATTTACCAACATAAAATAGCTATTACTTCGTGCTATTTTCTCTTATTAAAAATTAAAGGTACCTAACTCACAAATACCCATGCTCTTTATTTAATAGAATTAGGGACCAAGGGTGTTAAATTAGTTCCTAAAAGCAATTAATGCTTAAAAAGAATGCTTGGGCCCTTTCTAAATCATAAATTTTCTAAAGCAAAAGGGGATACTGAAGTAAGTACAATTAAAACTTTAAGGTTTTGGGTCAGCTGTGAATGACCAAATGGATATAGAATTTACCTTTAACATCCTCAGTGTTTATTGAAACAAATAGCGATTGTAAATTTATTTCATAATTTTTGGGTATCGGATAGTCGGTTTATATTTTATAGTATATCATATTATGAAATTGTATATTCTATTGATTTTATTACTTAATTTGGTCTAACTTTAAGTAGAAGTACTAGTAGATGTTGTTGTTCTATTTTGTAGATGATATTTATAAATATATGCTGTTTTATTTTAGGAAGATGACATCTTCGTATACACAAACGCCCATAATAAAAAATACAATATATGCAGAAGAAAATTAGACAAGAATATACCAATTCAAAAAAAAAGTTTACACAGATGCTTTACTAACCATGTTGTATGTAGAATGTAGAATGTTTAGGAGGGGAGTTAATTACTGCGACCTTACAGATCTATTGTGCGTTCCCCTTTCTTGAGTTATAATGAGTTATAGCTCATCATACAGTCTCAAGGCTTTAACAAAAGCCAGTATCTGAGCCGTCTCCACAGAGGTCACCTCGACATCAGCCGTACCAAAGTTCATGGCACGAACGGTCGTCGTCTCGGCGCGCTCAGTGATAAGATGTTAAGATGTTTAGGTGTTTCCCCATTTTCCCTACAGAGTCTGCATTCGCCGTTGTTTCTCAGCTTCAGCCTACTAAGATGTTCGTTGAGGAGACAGTGTCCTGTTAGAAACCCCGTGACAATCCGAAGATTGTTTTTACTTAAATCAAGGAAAATCTTTGATTTTTCTCGGTCGTAAGTTCTGAGGAACTTTTTTGAGTGTCTTAGACCGTTGGAGGACTCCCATTCCAGGTAACGGATGGAGTCTTCCAGGTTCTTCAGTTCCGCTTTTAGTTAGTTTCCGCTTGGAAAACAAAACGGTTCTGGTCCAGTTAGTGGAGTGTTCGCTCCTTTTCTAGCTACATCATTTGCTTTTTCATTGCCTTCTATCTCTTGGTGAGCGGCCACCCAGAGTAGGAGGACTTTATTTTCTTTGCCTAATTGGTTCAGCTTCTTTAGGCATACTTTAACCAACTTTGAATTGATGGTTACTGAGTTGATCGCGTTTAGTGCTGGTTGACTATCGGATAAGATGGCTTGATATTGGATACTAACCATGTTAGCTTTATTAACAGATTATGTTTGGCATACCTAGATTTTAATAAAATGCTTTGTGGTGTTTGATTTGTAAACTTTCAATATAATGAAGCTAAAAATACTTTTAGATATACCTACTAGTAATAATTGCAGAAGCATATATGGAGCTTATGCCAGAATATTCATTCTGTAAAGGAATGTCAAAAAAGACATGTTTGCTTTGATTTAATAGTTTACCCTAGGACCGATAGTCATACATTATTAAAACCTACAGATGCACGAGAAGTGCATTTTATTTGATTGAATTAGAAAAAAAAAAGTTTAATGGTTACAAAAGTTTAATGGTTACAAAAGTTTAATGGTTACTGGTACTTTTTTTAGTAATTTTTGCTTCATTGAAGTTTATTTTATGGAATGTCTTGTTGTTATTGTTTATTGGTCAAGTTTGATTAGTGCTAAATACTTTTTTTTATCTAAGTGGCGAAAATGCCTATCTGTTTTAAAGAAATAAACGCTCTACATTAGTATGAATAGATATTGTTTTGAATAGAATATATATTACTAGAAAAAAATTCGTTTGTGAAAAAATGTCAAGTTTCCACATTTATTTATTTATTTCCCGACATTGTTATTTGTTTTTCGATATTTTGGTATTACGAGTTTTTGGTTTAAATGAATTATGTTGTGATAAATGTGTTTAAAAATGTTTACTAGCAGATATTGCAGTAGAACATTGTTCTTTTTAAAACCTATTTTAGTGCGAAGTGTACAAGATAGCTTAATAACCGTAAAAAACTAATCGCAACTTTATTAGAATATTTTGAACGGAAAAGCAGTAGTAATAACCCTTTAAGTCCCCTAAGTGCTGTAAAGAAGGTGAGTTTTGTTGATGTAAATAAAAACTGTTTATATATTTGTAACTAATTTATTTTTGTTTCCTAAAATATTTTGATTAAAAGAAAATAGGTGAAAGTGGGCAACGCTGTGCCGGTCAAGCTTAATCACGTGACTAAAAGTTAATTTGATGTAAACTATAAATCCATAAATATATTAAATTACGTGTTACCTAAAATGATTTAGTGTTAATGAAAAAGATATGGGTAATATTAACTCACCGTCCTCTTTCATTGAAGTTATAAAAATTAAATAACAATCACATATCCTCGGTGAATTAGTATCTCACTCGCCTGCATATTCGTCATCCGACATGGAATGTAAGTTTATTATCGCCGACTTTATAAAATCGCGCCGTTTCCACCATTTCAAACTAACTCGTATATTGTCTGTCGCGAGTTGTCACGGATGTTTTTGGAAAGTTATGAAGACAATAGGCCATTGTTGCCACCTCGCTCCCGCAAACAATGGCGATACGTCGCCGAAATGGTGTGGGCCGCATCATTGTTTTCAGAACAAGGAGGAAAGAACCGTCAAGAATTGCTTATTTCGACAGTTGTTAAATCGAGAGTGGAACATTGAGAGAGATTTCCAGGCTTACGCGAGTCTTAAGTTGTTTTAGAACAAGCTGTGGGTACATGTCCTACTAAAAATAATCATTATTATACACTAACCGGGTTTGATGTGTTTTAAAGTTTAATCAATTTTGTTCTAATGGGCCGATTTTGATGATTGTATAAGCAATTTGTAGCTAAATAATTTGACTTTTTATTATCTTTTTCTAAATTAAAAATCAAAGTTTCCATCTATCAATTATAAAAGGGAAAAAATGTTTATATTTTGATGAAAGTTTGAAACGCCCTGTTGAATATGTTAACAAAGCAAGGAATTTAAAAATCACTTTATCATCTAGGTACGTCTATTTTCGATAGTTTGCTCAATAGCTTCATTTTTATTGGAGATATTCGCTTTTGAATAATACAGTAACGATTTTAATGTAATTTTTGCATTGCTTTTGAGTCCTCATCAACGCACTTATAAAATAGTACTTATTGTTTTTGTCATGTAACTGTGATTGAAATGTCATACTGTTATTGTCTATTGATTTGTTTACTCTGGATGGTTCTAAGTTTCGAATAATCGGCTATTGTTGCTTTAATTGATCATGGTATAGTTTAACTTTTGGACTTAAAACTCTATTTGCTAGAGTAACTGCCCAACAGAATATATAACGTATGTATGTATTTATGTACATACATAATTATATATTACATAAATCATAACTATTTTATACAGCTCGAATAAAAATACGAGACTCATTGTCAGAAAGCATAAAAATTACAAAAGGCCTCAAGCAGGGATGTTGCATATCTCCTATACTATTCAAAATATACCTGCAACAAGCACTAAAAAAATGGATGCTTAAGTGTAGAGGAATGGCAATCCCCCTAATAAATGAGGACACCCTATACACCCTATTTTTTGCGGACGACCAGATAGTCCTAGCCCAAGATCACGACGACCTTGAATATATGGCAAGGATGCTGATAGAGGAGTATAAGAAATGGGGGTTGGAGGTAAATATCACCAAAACTGAATGTATGACTGTAGGGGGGCCACAAGAGAACATAGTTTTAGAGGATGGAAGCTGATGAAAAACTCGATGAGGGTATAAAAGATCGAATAATGCAAGGCAGGAGGGCAATATCTATGTTGAATGGTGAACTGTGGGATCAAGGAATCTTTAAAGCTAATAAGAAGAACATATATAATATGGCTGTGAAAAGCATAATAACTTACGGAAGCGAAGTATGGCAGTTGAAAAGCAGAACAGAAAACATGCTATTAGCGATCGAAATGGATTACTGGAGGAGATCTGCTGGAAGATCGAAAAGAGAACAAATAACCAATGACAGAGTAAAAGAGATTATGGGAGCAGAACACACAATTGTGGACGACATAAGAACAAAACAACTCATATGGTTTGGTCATGTGCAACGAATGCCCGATCACAGAATACCAAAACAAATTTTACAGTGGACACCTCGAGGCAGAAATAAAAGAGGAAGGCCGCGACGAAGCTGGAGGGTGGGTGTGGATAAAGAACTAGAAAATAGAGAAATACCTGATGATCTCTGGCTAAATAGAGAAGAGTGGAGGTTAGGTGTCGGAAAACGTCGTAGAACGTTCTGAACCAATTCCTTGCTTTGTTAACGTACCTCACAGGGTCTTTCAAACTTTCACAAAAATATCAATATTTTATTTTCACTCGTATAATTGATAGATGGAAATTTTTATTTTAAATTTATAAAAAGACACTAGAAAGTCAAATAACTTAGCTACAAATTGCTTAAAAAATCATCGAAATTAGTTAACTAGAACACAATATATAAAAAAATATATGAACATTTTAAGGTACCCGTTTTTCGTGCCGGTGAGTGTATTTTATTATAGCTAGGTCTACAACACATTACAATTACAATATTGTTACAGATGCCGTGGGTCCATTAATTTAAACTCACGATAAAATACTTGACGAATTTATTTTTTCTCACTCTGTACACACAATTTATACTGATTATAATACACAATTTATGCTACTACTATTACTCTAACTATTCTAGCACCTTCGCCAATTAATTCACAATTTTAAACGCGGTATTATCAAACTTCAAAACCCTAATAACTGTTTCTCGAACTTTCTGTAATTTCGATACTTTTCTGCCATCTACTAGCTTTCTACTAGTAAATTATATTGTCTGATTCGCTTACTTGTCGACTTCTTTAAGAGATGGCGCCTAAAAATGTCTTTTACTTTCTGGTGAATTCGCCAGGTTCCTCAATACACGTTGCGGTTTTAGTTTCTTGCTTCTCCGACAGATGGCGCCACATACACCTTAACAATATTAAAATTGTTTGACGATAAAAAATAATTTTATATATTTAAGATATCTGAAATTGTTATGTTTTTAAAACGTGACATTCTGTTCTCTAAACAAATTTGTTAACAAGAAAAATACTAAGAAGTTTACCAATAAATATACAGGATGCCCCAATATTCCGTGGACATAGTACTAATAAGTTTATTGGACACAATTTACCTGTATACAAAAGTGTTTCGTTTGTCTGCTAGAGGCCATCAAACTTTAAAAAAATGAACACATCTTTTCAGATATTTTATGAACCGTTATTCCGATTGGAATGAGATTTTGGTTGTCTCTGTTTTGCTAAGTGTGCTCTAGCATTTGACATTTAAAAAATTAAGAAAAAATAAGAGAAGGGTGAAAACTACCCCCACCCCTACATCAATTTAAGTTTAAATATTTTTAAATGTAATGGAAACTGGGAAATAAACCAAATGCAAAAATGTCAAAAGTATGTCATTGATATGATATATCAGTGATATGTCATTCTATTCAGAGTGTCATTTTCTATCGAATAAATTACAAATATACCGAGGGTGTCATTTAAAAAACAAAAGTTGTAGTCATTTCCGGTGAAGCAGGAAGTAACCAAAAACAATTAAATACGTCAATCAATCCTAATTTATGTCATATACTAAAATACCAAATCTTTTTTTTTCTGAAAAAATAAGAAAGTTATAAGGGTGAGCCACTTTCGAGACGCATCCGGTATACATAATTAATTAAATAATAATACTGATAAACCAAGTGCAGAAACTAAAATAAAATAGGGTAGGTACATCATAAACAGGTCATATTTTCTTTCGACACTGATTAAAATTGCGAAGCTAATCAAGTACAGAGAAAGTCGGAAATTTACCGATAAGAAGTCCTTTCTCCTATCCAATAATGGCTCGTGAAGGGCAGTAGTAAAAAGAACGACCGGAAAAAAACGACTGTTCCTTAATTAAACCAGAAGCTATTAGAGGAAAAGAAATCTACTTTTGGAATTTTCCAACCGTGCGTTTGAAGACGCGTAGCGCCTTTTAATAGAGATAAAAGCTGTCGGTGAGTTTAAAACGCCCTTGGCAATACTTTTAATAAACTCCTTTGAGATTGCGTCCTTCTTTTACTTCGTCTTCTTTTATAGACAAAATAGCGGAGAAGACCTTTATAAATGTCATCTGTGAAGGCACCTTGCGTTAAATACGAGTTTGATTTTAAAAAAAACATAACACGTATAACCTGCCAAAACGATATGTCTAATACAAAATTGGTTCTATTGTTTGACTCATGGCTTCGCAAAGAATGTTGTGATTTATGTAGTGTCCGACCGAAAACTTATTTTTGAGGGCGAAACCGAAACCGAAACTTCCACAAAAGGTGATTTTTTAGTAGATAGTAAAATTAATAGTTATTTTTTATACAAGACGATAAAATGGTATTTTATCGTCGACCGAAAAGATTAATTTTTAAAAAAATTAATAAATTAATAAGAAAAAATTTCATCGCTCGTGAATTAATTTCGGGAGACGATAATGCAATAATTTTATCGTCGTATATAACAATATTTTTTTCCATAGCGAGTTACAGCGTTTTCAGATGGAGCGGAGCGTCCGCGACGGACCGTCCGCGACTTCCAGCAAGTACCATGAGTTTATATGAACGATTACACATGGGTCGCGTATGCTCCGTCCGGATGAGCTATATTGAAAAAACATCCGCGCGGACGCTCCGCGCCTACGGTCCGCTCCATCTGAAAGCACGTTTTAAAAAACAGTCAGAAACAATGACTAAAGAATACAAGGACATGTAACGCCCCTATACGGGCTGCAGCAGAATTTGTGACCTTTTTTTTTTGTTTTGGTGGCAAACAATGAGTCATCATTTGGTCACCAGCGACAATTTTAGCGATTTTTAATAGTTTGTGTGTAGTAAACTTTGTATAAACTTTATTACAATGGTGATTAGTTGTTCAGCTTTCAAGTGTAAAGGCAGCAGCGATAAGAAAGAGCCATATACGTTTCATCGGTAAATAAACAGTCCACTCCAACTTTTTAGCATTTTCTTATTGAATTCGATAACTATTCTTCAATTTCAATTAACATCTATATGTACTTGATATGTGCTATACGTCGATACTAGTTTTGTACCTTTTGTTAACATTTTAATACGTTTTTTTCGTCATTAATTAGGATGATACACCATAGGCGTAGTCAAAACAATTGTCAAAAAATATAAATATTGCTTCAAACAGCTAGGTTAAGAAAAATATGTGCCACGGCACTGATTGGTGACATCGTCACAATTTGCTCTCGGGTGTTATTTGTCCTTGGATTCTTTAGTCATTGGTCAGAAATTATTATTTCAAGGAGTTTATTACGAATAGAAAAAATATTGTGCTGGGTTGGCGTTGGTTTCTATGTAATTTGACAAATAAAATAAAGCTGTCTCTTTAGTTATCAGTTTTGAGTCAATATTTTTTTATTCAATTCTTTTTCGTGACGATTGCTGATTGAATTGGAGCCAGAAATGGCTCAAAACAAAATAAGTAAATTACCAACAGATATTCAGGCTGAGGCGAGAAACGCCATATCCAAACTACTTCCATTTAAATCCCGAATAACTTATGAAAAGTAATACAAAAATTTTCAAAAATGGAAACAATTAAAAAAAGTGCGAGGAGAAATAAACTTTTTAACCTATCCTCGCTGTTAAAGTATCATTTAATCTAGCCTTGCGTTTAAAATACTATTTCATCTACTATTTTTGATAGATTAGAGGCAATTTAACAGTTGATATGGAAAAAAGATATTATTATAATGATAAAATTCTTAAAACACATATTAATTATTTATTTTCTGAAAATTTAATGAACTATCAAAATGCACCTAAATATTAATACTAATTCTTTTAAATATTATAAATTTAAATATAAAAAATATATATAAACAAATATTTTCCTATGCTTTATTTACTTTATATAGCAAAAACTACAGATAAAATTAAGAAATACCTATAGTTCTCAAATAATAAACTTTTAGTCACGTAATTAAGCTTGACTGGCACAGCATTGCCCACTTTTACATATTTTCTTTTAACCAAAATATTTTAGGAAACAAAAATTAATTAATTATAAATATAAAGAGTTATTATTTACATCAACAAAACTTTTTTAACTTTCTTAACAGCACTTAAGGAACATAAATAGCCATCACTACCACTTTCCCTTTCAAAATATTCTAAGAAAGTTGCGATGAGTTTTTTAGGGCTATTAAGCTATCTTGTACCCACTTCGCACTAAAAGAGGTTCTCTAAAAAGAGCAATGTTCGACTGCAAGGTTTGCTAGTACACATTTTTAAGCTTAAAGTATCACAACACTATTTATTTAAACCAAAAACTCAAGACAATGTCAGGAAATAAATATATTTTATAATAATAATAAATAAAGGAAAACTACGAAATAATTAATATAAATAAAATGACTTTATCTAATACGCTTTTCTATTAACACTTTTTTGTATCATTTATATAATTAATTATATAGGAATCGATGAATGATATAGGTATTGTTAATAAATTTTAATTAAGATTTATGAAATTAATTAACGCAATTTTGTTGATTAAATACTATTTGAAGAAAATATTTAGCTTTATTCTCAAAAATTAAAGAATATCTAGACATTAATATTGTAACCCTGTTAGCAGTTAAAAACAATAAACAACATATGTATTATATAATCAAAGTATATCGAAAATAATTGTAGGTTTAGTTTTTCACCTTAGTTCGTGATAAGAAATTGCGCCGTACCGTTGCGTTGTGTCGTGTTCATTAATATTACAATAATAAAGGTGTGTGTTCTTTTCGTTGAGGGCATAACTTGTTATAATGCATATAAAGCGAATTTTACGTTGCTCTGTAGCAGTAAAATGGGCAGAAACAATTCGAGCAATTGTTGTTTTAGTTTTTTCAGATTTCCAGGTTATCTGCCCAGGTATGTTTAACATTGCTAGGTTTAACATAAAATAATTATAAGGTGTTATATCACTCATTAAAATATGTATCGGTAATAGGTGTTAGGTTATACAATATGTTATTATATATAGGTGTTAGGTTATACAATATGTATATAAAATTGATAACTAGAATCATAAATACATATAAAAAATACATCATCCGACTAATATATTTAAAATTAATAAATT